CCCCCCCCCCTTTTTGCCCCCCCCCCCTTCGCGCCCCCCCCCCCCCCCCCCCCCCTCCCCACTTTTTGGGGTCTCCCCCCATTTTTGGGGGTCCCCTCGCACCTTGGGGGGTCCCCACCCTCCCCCATCCCTGCCAAGCTGCCTTAGGGGGATCTGGAGGATTGGGGGGGGGGAAGGGTCGGGTGGGTGTGGCCGCCCCTCCCCCCTCCCCCCACCCCCGCTTTTGCCAAACGCCCCCGGGGGTGGGGGAGGGGAGGGGGCGGAGCCTGTGACCAAAGGGGGGGCGGGAATTGAACTGCACTTTGTGGGGGGAGGGGCCGCCCCTCCCCCCCCTCCCTGCGGGGAACAAACTGGAGAGGGAGGGGCCGCCCCTCCCCCACTGCCCCCCATCCCCCATCCCCCCACTCCCGGGGGGTCCCCGGGCAATAAAAACTGGACTAACGACACCTGTGGTGTGGGGGAGGGGCTGCGGTGACCCCCACGTGACCCCCACGTGACCCCCCCCAAGGTGTGACCAGCGCCGCCTCCAGGCGCTTTTATGGAGGGGGCGTGGTCTGAGCCCAAGGGGCGTGGCCTCCATCACGAGGGGCGTGGTCAGTGATCACAGAGGGGCTTTAATTCATGGGGGCCCCTCCCAGGCCCCAAAGTGGGCGTGGCCCCTCAAAATGGGCGTGGCTTTGACCCCACATGTCCCACCTGACCCCAAAAGGGGCGTGTCCTAACTCGATGGGCGTGGCCTCCTTTCCCTGGTGGGTGTGGCCGCATAATTTCCCTGACCCCAAACTGGGCGTGTCCCTTCCCAAATGGGCGTGTCCCCAATGGGGGTGTCTCTACCCTAAATGGGCGTGTCCCTGTCCTAACCGGGCGCGTCCCTCCCCTAACCGGGCGTCTCCCTGCCCTAACCGGGCGTGTCCCTCCCCTCACTGGGGGTGTCCCTCCCTAATTGGGTGTGTCCCTCCCCTAACTGGGCGTGTCCCTCCCCTCACTGGGCATGTCCCTTCCCTCACTGGGCGTGTCCCTCCCCTAACCGGGCGTGTCCCTCCCCTCACTGGGGGTGTCCCTCCCTAATTGGGTGTGTCCCTCCCCTAACTGGGCGTGTCCCTCCCCTCACTGGGCATGTCCCTTCCCTCACTGGGCGTGTCCCTCCCCTAACCAGGCGTGTTCCTCCCCTCACTGGGGGTGTCCCTCCCCTAACTGGGCGTGTCCCTCCCCTCACTGGGCGTGTCCCCTCTCCGAATGCCCTCCTCCCTCCGTCGGGCGTGTCCCTCCCCGATCGGGCGTTGCCCCTACGGGGGCGGGGCGGCGCGGGGCGGAGCAGGGCGTGGCGCGGGCGTGGCCGCGGCCTTGCGGGCCAGCTTGGCCAGGAGGGGGCTGTGGGGGTGGCGCTGGCGCAGGTGAGCCAGGTGAGCGTCCTGGCTGTCGGCGGTGCCGCCGCACTCCTCGCACACGTAGAGCTTGGCGCGGCGCTCCTTGTAGCCGTAGCGCTGCGCCACGCCGTGGATCTTGCGCAGGTGCGACTCCAGCGAGCAGCGCTGCGTGAAGGCCTTGTCACACAGGGAGCACTTGTACGGACGGACACCTGGACAGACAGACAGACAGGACAGGGTCACACAGGGAACACTTGTACGGACGGACACCTGGACAGACAGACAGACAGGACAGGGTCACACAGGGAGCACTTGTACGGACGGACACCTGGACATGGGGACAGACAGACAGACAGGACAGGGTCACACAGGGAACACTTGTACGGACACCTGGACATGGGGACAGACAGGACAGGGTCACACAGCACTTGTACGGACGGACAGACACCTGGACAGACAGACAGACAGGACAGGGTCACACAGGGAGCACTTGTACGGACGGACACCTGGACAGACAGACAGACAGGACAGGGTCACACAGGGAACACTTGTACGGACGGACACCTGGACATGGGGACACACACACGGGGTGAGGGGAGGTTGGGGGAGGTTCCCGATCCCGTTCCCACCGGTGTGGGGGTGGACGTGGCGCTTGAGGCTGAAGGTGTTGTGGAACCTCTTCCCACCCCATTCCCACCCTGATCCCGTTCCTGATCCTGATCCCATTCCCGTTCCCATTCCTGATCCCATCCCCGATCCCGTTCCCATCCCCATTCCCATTCCCGTTCCCATCCCCATTCCCGTTCCCGTTCCCGATCCTGTTCCCATCCCCATCCCCGTTCCCGATCCCGTTCTCATCCCCATCCCCATCCCCATTCCCGATCCCTTTCCCATCCCCATCCCCGTTCCCATCCCCGTTCCCATTCCCGTTCCCATCCCCATTCCCGATCCCATCCCCATTCCCGTTCCCGATCCCGTTCCCGTTCCCATCCCCATCCCTGTTCCCGATCCCGTTCCCGTTCCTATCCCCATCCCCGTTCCCATCCCCATTCCCGTTCCCGATCCTGTTCCTGATCCCATTCCCATCCCCATCCCCGATCCCGTTCCCGTTCCCGTTCCCGATCCCATCCCCATCCCCGTTCCCGTTCCCATCCCCTTTCCCGATCCCGTTCCCATCCCCGTTCCCGATCCCGTTCCCATTCCCGATCCCGTTCCCACCGGTGTGGGTGCGGACGTGGCGCTTGAGGTCGAAGGTGTCGTTGAAGCCCTTCCCGCAGTAGGGGCAGCGGTGCCGCTTCACCTCGCTGTGGCACTTGAGGTGCCGGTTCAGCATCCGCTGGAAGCCGAAGCTCTTCTGGCACACGGGGCACGAGAAGAGCTCGGAGCCCCCCGGGACCCCCCCGGCCACCGGGACCCCCCCGGGGACCCCCCCGGCCAGGGGCAGCCCCGCGGGGAGGGGAGCGCCCAAAGGGCCGGACGGGACCTGTCAGCGAGGGGAGGAAGGGGTTAAATGGGGGCGCCCGGAGGGGTGGGGACCCCCCTTGGGACCACCCCCCCTCCTTGGGACCCCCCCCTCCTTGGGACCCCCCCCCGTGGGACCCCCCCAGCCTTGGGATCCCCC